AATTAACTACTAGTACAACAAATTATTAACAAACACAATGATGAACTTAGGCCAAGTTTGGCATCCTTCGAAAAATCCAAAAAGCCAAAAAGGTTTCCAAAAAGTTAAAAAGTTATCACTATTCACCAAAAGTCAAAAATTACGGCTGCACAACTCCCAATCTTAATTTTCCCCTACACACTAATTTATACAATTTTTTAATACACATATTTTCATAAAAAGTCAAAAAGTTAACCCAAACGTTCATATTTTTTTCCTCAACTTTTTAGTCTAAAAAGACATAAAGTGCACTTATTTAGGATACCCCAAACAACCCCTTAGTATTAAATGATCAAGCAAAATAACAATGAAGTATAACTGACATACATGGTAAATCAAATGATTAGCACATGAATATTAGATAGATATAGCTATAGTAGAAAAATAAAGAGATTAGAGAAAAGGAGACAAACAGATTTATAGTAGTTCGGTTTCAACTAAGCCTACATCCACTCCTCAAGATTCACTTGAGATTTTCCACTATCTTCTAGCTTCACAGGGTGCTAGCAATTTTTTCACAGATGAAGCAATCCTCCACAGATTTTATATAGACTTTCTAAGTCAAGAACACTGGGTGTACTACACTCTTACATAGTTGAAAAGAAGGTGTTTTTGCTTTCACAGAAAACTATAATAATTATCTCTCAAAGATAGATATAAAAATAAAGCTCTGGTTTTTCTATAAATATCACACAGAAAAGATGAGCTTAATACTATAAGGCTTAGTGTATAATTTCTGAGAGATGATGTAAACAAAAATTAAAGAACACTTCTCAGAGAATTTTTCAGAGAATAGATATGAGTGATTATAGATCAAAGAATATTTTTTGGTTTTTTTGTAACTGGTTTATATTAGAGGCTTTGGTATATATAATGAAACTTATAGCCGTTTATAACCGTTTACAGCCGTTGTATTCATTTGAATTTATAGCCGTTTATAACCGTTGTACTCCATCATTACAAATTTGAATATCTTCCACTTGAACCTTTTGAACTTTTTAGCCTACTGCTGTGCTGGGCTATTTGAATTCCTGATTTAGGGGTGGTTTGGGATGATCTAAATAAGTGCACTTTTTGACTTTTTATGAAATATGGGTTGGATATGGGTTGGATTTGATGTGATGTGGTAGAGAGATGATGTGACTTAAATAAGATAGTGACTTTTTAACTTTTTAACTTTTTTAGGTTACGACAAACAAGGCCTTAATCAAAATATTAAATACATTCTAACAACATTTAGGATAAAGGTTTAGGTGAGAAATTATGAGACAAAATAAATTTTGATTCTATTTTTCTCTTTCAAATAAATCATCAAAATAAATTTTGAATTCTATTTTTTTCTTTCAAATAAATTAAATAAATTATCAAAATAAATAAGTCTAACAATCTAGCCTTTGTTGGTCAATTGATTGATCCTAAACATTTTTGGTTGTTTGATCACAACTTTGAGACACTTTTCATAAAATATTTTTATGGCCGTTAACATTTTTGCAACATATAAATTGTAATATAAGAATTTTATTAGATAGTGCCTTCTGGCACGGGCAATCTCTAATATTAAGATAAGTCAAATCTATTAAAAAATATTTGTACAAGTGGTAAATGATAATTTGGGATGTATTAGCAAAAACGCATGAGTAAATTGGCAAAATCATCTACGAAATGGTAAAAAGATTAATTTGTCATTTTTCTGCTATAATAAACGGATAAATGGACCTAGACGAGTAAATTGAATTGAGGCTCATTTAAATAAGAAAGATCTAAATTCATAAAATACAAAATTTAAGATTTAAGAGTAAATTATATTTTATTTCTCTCAACTATCATCGTTTTTTACTTTATCTTTCAAACTAAAAATTGATACTAACGTACTCCTTTCATCATTTAAAAATTTCCAATCTAATCCTTATACCTCCATTATGTTAACAAAATAAACAAAAAATGTGCATATAATATGTATGTCATATTTATGATAAAAATCCCTTTTAAAGTCATAAATATGACATGTGCACGTTACATGTACATTCTCCATCTGTTTTGTTAACATAATAAAGACATAAACGTTGAATTAAAAACTTTTAAAAAATGAATATAGTACATTATGGGTTGGTTTGGAAAGTGGGTTAGCTTTTTGACCTTTTTTGACTATTTTAGCCTGGCTAAAAAGTTTGGTTTGGGAAGGACTTTTTGGCTTTTTGACTTTTTTGACTTTTTTTTGTGAGAGAAGAATGTAATGATTATGGGTTGGATGTGATGTTTTATTTGTTGTGGCTAAAATAACTTATTTTGTCTTTGTGGCTATTTTAGCCACAAACCATCTTGCCAAACGAACCCATCAATTTTTAGTTTGAGGGAATAAAATAAAAAACGGTGAGAGTTGAGGGGTAAAGTGTAATTTTCTCAAGATTTTTTTTATTGTAATTTTTTATTAAAATAAATATTGACTATAATAAATTGTATAAAATCCAGTGAAAGTGATAATATTATATTTGAGAGATTCAAATAGGTGGTGCAATTGCTATTTAGTTTTAATCTATTTCCTTTTTATCTGAAAAAAAAAAAATTTTTTTAGTTATTTTTTAATTAAAATTAATAATTTTAAAACTGGAACCAAATTAAAAAATATATATATATATCATTGAAGATACAAATAAATTTTTTGGCATTTGTTTGTTTGTTAATAAATCGTTTCAAAAGTAAAAAGGTAAAAAATTTTAAATTTTAAATATACTCTTTGGGGGGATTTTATTTTATTTTTTAAATTCGGTTTAATTTTATTTTAATTTTTAAGGTGTTATAATCAAAGAGAACTTAAAAATTATTTTTTTTAAAAAAGAAAAAAGTCGCTAAAAATAAAAAAAATAATTAAAAATTTACTAGAAAGTATTTACCAAATCTCCATAAATAATTAAAAAAGAAGAAGAAGAAGGTGACCATAATACGATAGACCAACTAGAAATATCCCATCTTTTATTTTATCACTCTTAATTATATATTTTTATTTGGGATACATTATATAAGGATATATTTTTTTTTTATCTTTTTTAAATTACATCTCTTTTTGATTTTTTTTTTCTCATCTTTTCATAAAAAGTTATAAAATATATTTATTTTGATTATTTTAAATAATTCTTTAATAAGGGTAATTTTTATGTGTACAAGTACATACCATATATATTTATATAAATTTTCACAAATATACATAAATTACCTCACGAAATCTCATACATTTTACAACTATATGTAAATTAATTCATAAAATTTTTAAAAAAATCACAGCTTACATCACATCAAACCCATAATCATTTCACTTTTTCTCTCACAAACATCACATCCAACCACAAAAAAATCCAATCATCTTCCCAAACACAAAAATTTTAGCCTACTTAAAATAGCCAAAAACTAAAATAGCCTACTAAAATAGCCACTTCCCAAACGAGGCCTTAAAAGGGTCTGTTTGATAACCATTTCGTTTTCAATTTATATTTACAAAAATTTTAAAAACTGTCATAAAAACTTGTTTGATAATTTTTTTTGTTTATAAATGTTTGTTTCAGTTTATAAATTTGAGAAAAAAATGTAAACTCAAAAAATGAGTTTACGTTGATTTTTAAACAGAAATTTAAAAATTTGACTAAGAATTTTTTTTTTCAATTATTATTTTTAATTAATTTTTTTCCCATTGTCATAAATAATAAAAAATAAATATAAATATTTTAGGCTTGAACAAATATATTTTTTAGTTAATATTTTTCAAATATTTTGTTCAAACCAAACGCATTTATAGTTTATATTTTTCTAAAAATAAACAAAAATTAATTTATAAAAATTTTGTAAACATAAACAAAAAATGTAAACGTTATCAAATGCTATCTTCTTCTTTCGTTGTATTTAATTAAAAATTTTAGAAATTTTTTTTAAAAAAATAATAGATAAAATATAAATAAAACACACATATATTTTATCTAATTCCACTCAATTTTTTTTTTCCTAACCCATTTCAAATTCCTTTCCAAATCGTCTAAAATATCAATTACGGGTGGGCTCGGGTCGGTTGCGGCCATGAAACCTCTAATCCGCCATTCGTCTGCCAGTTTGGCGGATTGGAGAAAATCAATCCGCATCCGTCCGCTAATCCGGCGGATGTGGATTGAGCGGATTTGCGATTTGGCGGATAGATGTGAATGGGTTTGGCGGTTTGAAATTTTATAAATTTTCAACATAATTCAACTCTTGCATTTCTTGAAAAAAAAAAGGTATTACAATTACTGCATGCATCATCCAAAGAAAGAAAGTTTGAAACTTTAGAATATCACAATCACTGCATGTCTCATCCACATATTACAATCACAGTATGCCTCATCCACATAAATTATTACAATATGTGGTTCTTAAAATATAAAAACTATTCAAACCACAAAAACCATAAACAGAGCAATAGTAGAGATTGTGTATGTCTCTGTATTGTTACATTTATATATATTTTTGAAAACAAAAACCAACCAGTATATATCATATTTTTTATTTATTACTTTTAGAATTTGATTTAAAAACAAAAAAAATATAGATAAATAATACCTTTATTTTTTTCAATTCAAAAAATATATTCAAGTTGAAAACTTCTTTTCAACATATTTGAACTCTTTTTCAATTGAAAATATAAACAAAACATTTAAATAAATTAAAAATACAAAATCTTATAAATTACTAAGGGTGCTCGCGGTTTGGCGGTTTGGTTACGGTCAAAGGAACCTCAAATCCGCCACCTGTCCGCCAAATTGACAAATTAAAAAAAATCAATTTATAATCGTCTACTCATCATCACGCATCCATCCAAAATACGACGAATCGATTCGACTCGACTAGTTTTGACTGATCAAAATATATCCGTTCCTCACCCTAATATCAATTAATCAACTTCCTTCGTGACGTTGTGGTCTATTGAGCGTGCGAGTGGGAGTGGAACAAAAAGTCAGAAATGGAACCCAACCGAACCGCCATCGCTATCAATCATCCTCATTATTGTTTCACTTCGCTGTTCCATAAATTCATAAACAATCCCCTTCTTGTTGTATCATAATCATCATCAAACTCTCATTCTCTCTCGTTGTCGATTAGATCAATCGATTCAATTCGTCGAAAACGATTTGCTGCAACTTTTGGATCACTCTTGGATTAATAATAATAATTACATTTGATATTTGACAAAAGAGGATCGAACTAGGGTTTTCAGATATGGCTAGTCCCAAGAAGAATCAAAACAAAGGTTTCTTCTCCGCGATGACTTCCGGTTTTTCAATGTTTGGGACTGCCATGCAGAGATCTGTCAACGGGTATGTATTGAGATTTGTTGCCTTTTTTCCTGGATTTTCTCATGTGAGCCAGCGAAAGAGTATTTGTAATAGCTTCCTGTTGTTGCTGCTCTATGTATGTGCATTTTAGCAATAAGTTTCTGTTTTGGAATTGAAATTTGGGGCCAATCTTTGAAGCTGTGCTAATTCTCCATGTTAGTTTGAAATCATGGATTGGGTTGGTTTGATTTGAACTTCTTACCTGGAGATGAAAGCTTCAAGTCAGTAAGTATGACCTTTGAAAATTTGAGTTTGCAAAAGGGTCTACTTTCATTCAGGGTAAAAAAAAATTCAATTTGATATGAATTTAAATAGGGGTTGAGTGTTTTTCATTCACTCAATTTTAAATTTGAGACGTGTTTACATATGGTTGAGCTCAACATAAAAAATAAAAAAGAAAAAAGAAAGGGTTTAAGCTGTGAGCTATCAATTAATTCCACCAACTGTGTTCTAGTTTTAAATTTAGAGAAAATTAGTGAAACATCCCTCTTCAATTTGAAACATCTCTAGTTTTAAATTTAGAGAGTTCCAATATATGTTTTTTTTATTAGCTAAGGTGGTCGATGGAATTTCTCTATGATCATACCAAAGAAATTTCAAATTTTTTATGTGAAAATTAAAATTTCTCTGCATTGGGTTAATATTTTTTGTGTCAAATTTTCTCGGCAAAAATGTTGAGAATCCCAACTAGTATGAAAATATTATATATCCTTTGTGTTGTAAAATCCTAATATGAGGACCTTAAAAAAAATTCCCCTTAAATTTACCAACTTTTATTTATTTTTGTCTAATCTCTCTCTTCTTTTTTATTTTATTTTAATATTTAGCTCAATGTGGCCTAATATGTGGGAATAATTAATGGTGTTCTGTCTCCATATTTCCCACCCCTTTTATTTAGACTATTATTTTCTTAGTTTAAAACACAAAATAAGCTCATTTAAGAAGCACATGAGATAAAGGATAGTTGTTGTTAAAATTTACCATCACCTACCACCAATTTACCATCACCTACCACCACCTACTCCTCACCTACTCCTCACCTACTACACTCACCTTCTCCTATATAATGAGCCACTCACCATTTGTAATATAGACAACATAAATCAATCAATAATACATCATTATTAACATGGTATCAGAGCCACGTTAAGACCTTAGTGATTCCGCTTCACCGGCGGGCGGCAGCCTCGCCTTGACCGTCCGCCGGACAAACCCAAATTTTCTAATTCTCTCTCTCCTCCCTCCATTCCCTCACCCACATACATGTCTCATCCACATATTACAATCACAGTATGCCTCATCCACATAAATTATTACAATATGTGGTTCTTAAAATATAAAAACTATTCAAACCACAAAAACCATAAACAGAGCAATAGTAGAGATTGTGTATGTCTCTGTATTGTTACATTTATATATATTTTTGAAAACAAAAACCAACCAGTATATATCATATTTTTTATTTATTACTTTTAGAATTTGATTTAAAAACAAAAAAAATATAGATAAATAATACATTTAT